AAGATGCTTTGGCTTTAAATTGCCAGGGCTGTACCTTTAATTTAACCTGGAACACTTTGCACTAGTTATTGTAGATGCCTCCCTTCCCTCCCCTGCTTGTTGGCAAGCATTTGGTGACACTGGAAATGATTTGTGGAGAGGAGGGGCATGCCCTGACATTCTCCTGTGCTCACTGAGAACACAAAGCTCCACTGAAACCTCCTTTTGTGTTTGTTCTGATACTTTAAAAAAGTTATTAATCACAATTATCTTCTCTAATAATAAAGGAGCCATCATCTGGCTAAAAATAAACACTGGAACAAATCATAAAAACTGCAAGCTTTAATTAGAAACACAGAACACTGAACATGTCTGATTCAAACCTTTGGCTTGGGTTTTTGCCTTGTAAATAGCATAGTAAATATTGGCTAAACACTGGATTTGTGCTCCTTGTTGTTTCTCAGCCCTAGCACAGGATGGTCCAGGGGAGTTCTTTGCCCTCATCCGGAAGGACAGATACTCTTGAATGTGGTGGCTCATTCTATCCACACAAGGCACTGGGCTGAGCTTCTCATCTCCTCCATGGACTGGAAGGGCAACTCAGAAGATTTGCACAGTCTAGAATCTTCTCTTTTAGCTACTTTGAAAGTGAAGAAAGTGGCTTACATTTTTCAGCCAGTACTTCAAGTGTTAATGACAGCAAATGGGAGCAAAAAGCTTCTATACTCAATAGGAATTTGCTGTCATTTTTATTCTGAATTGCATGAATTCTGACTCTCAGCAGTTGTGACGTGGAAATCTCTAAAATAGTGTTGTTGTAAGAGAGTTCAGAACCTCCTATTTTAAGAGGCAAACAATACAGTTTTTCCTCTTACTTTACATTGCTGAAGATCAGACCAGATAAAAGATGTGCATTTCTACTCATTTCATTACATGAGTGTATTAAGAAGTTGTAGAAACACACTGCTTCTAAGATGGGAACTTTTTGAAACCACACTTTGAGAAATGGTAGAAGATGCTAGTCACTGAACAGAGAATTAACTAAAGCAGTACCATAACACAAGTAAATAATAATTGTAAAGCTATCCTTTCCTTTGTGTTTTTTTTTTGTTGCCTTTAGCAAAGGCTGTTAGCTGCATGGTGAAAGAAAGAAACATAGGAGTAAAATATGACTTTAAAAAAAGATAAAACTGTATTAGACTTTTTTTTTCTAAGTTCTTTAGGTGTCTCAAGCATCTATTTTTTCCCCCCATTATGGCCTTGATCTGCCAAACATTGTAGAAGCAATACGCAATACTCTCATGCCTAATTGTTCTTAGAATTGGAATCTAAATTACTTTTTCAATTTTGAAGTATCTTCTGTTTCCTATACATACATCTGAGTACATAGTACACAGAATTGATGAGCACACACCTTTTAGTTAACCTCTGAAAACTCTAGTCTTTTCATAGGAGGCCGTTGAACAAGTAAAGAGGAACACAGTTGTCTTCAAAAGTACTTAGGAACAATTGTCTGTTAGAAACTTTTGTGTAGACACACAATAGTGGACATCTACCGACACTCAAAGTATTATGTTATGAAATCCTATTTTAAATTCATCTGTTGTTTCTTTTCATCTTTTTGATTAACTCTTGTATCTGTCACATACATTTTGTACGTGGTGCAGAAAAGAGAAATTCTAAGACAAACATGGGATGAAACTTTGCTGGTGAATCAGTACTGTGCTGCTGAAACCTAAGGTTGGTGCAGGGCCAAGAATGTAAATCTGAGATTTTGGCACATTTGGTTTTGTCAGTGGCTGAGGTAGTCTGAATTAACAAAAGCAGTGTGCCAGCCATGCTCCTTGGTCACAAAGGTTCACTCTTACGTCCCTCAACGTGACTTTATGTTCTATGGCTTGTAATTACTGTAGATATGTGCACGTATTACATATACTTGTAGGCAGTAAGTGCAAATCTCTCTTCCTGTTCTCTGAAGTCAGTGAGAAAATCTAAAAGAGTAAAAACTGTTTTTTTACTTAAAAGAAAAAAAATAAAACTGAGTAAAGAAATACATGAAGTGATATAACTGAATGCATTAATGCATTAAGGGGACTATGAGGACCAAAAAATGAGAAAGAAATTGTGTAGAAAATAAAAATATATTAATATAAGTAAGGATGGATGAACGGATGTAGGAAATGGTATAATAACTAAGATGAAATGTGAATTGTAAAAATGAGGACATAACCAGTATCAGAAAAGCTAAATAAGAAAATCTGGAGAAGATAATAATTATAAAGGAAATGTAAATAAAAGGATAAGAAAACAGACCAATGTAAAAACAACCTAAGGGAAATTTGTGATACTTGTGTTCAAATCAGAAGAGTCCACTAAAACTCGTCTAAATATTCAAAGCTCTAGAAAAGAAAGTAAGTTGTGAAAGACCAGGGATTAGTCTGAAAACTCATGGGGATCAGAAGCAGGAGAAGGGCAAGGACGCTGTCCATCTTGACAACTGCTTTGCTTAAACTTGCCTCCTAGAAAATATTGGGACATACTGTTAAATAACCTAAATAGCAGTCACGTATTTTCTGAATTAGACCAAAAGTTTGCTTAGTTCTCTATATTTTCCCCTACAATAGCCAATAAGAGTAGTACTCAAGAATAGTATAAAAATATATGTGATTGAAATTTTCCAGCATACTTTTCCAAGCTTCAGGAGTTTGTCTCTCAGGTATACCACTGTACTTGCAGCTTTAAGAGAGACTTATTTATCAGTATGGTGTCTAATTGCCTCTTGGATGTGTGTAGTCTTTAACATGTGCACGGCATGTGTATGATAATGCAGCAAGGAGACCCTCATATATATCATCTGTTGGTAACCAAATAAAATAGGGGGGGGAAATCGTCTTGAAATGCCATGAGAGATTGATACAAGAAGAATGTCGGAAAACAAGTCCTGTTTCCTTTGCTGAGAGAATAAATTCAGTGATTGAGGGAAAACAGATGATTTGATGCACTCCAATTTTAGAAAGCAATGGATGTTGCCTGTGTAATTTTTCCTGAAACAAAGCATGGAAATGTAATAAGCATTCAAAGAGCTGAGAAAATAACAATATATTGTTTGCTAAAAAAAATAAAATAGGGAGGCGGTTCCAATAGGAGCCTGTAAGACTACTGAGTCTCAATGAAATTTTTATTAAGATGAATTTTTACTAAGATTAAGATGTCTGCTACACATACCGGGGAGCTGAATAACTCCTGCTAAAGTTGCCCATAGTGTCAAGGGAGAGAGAATTATGAGTGTGTGGCTATTAAAAGAAAAAAGGAGAAAAATAATTTCATGAACCTCCAATGGAAATGAAGGCCTCAACAAGGACTTGGGGATATTTTCAACATATTGCAAATTGCAAGTAGTCTTAATTTTCAAATCATTTTCAGATGTGGCATCCCAGCTCTCTTAAAAAACAGTGTGTAATTGCAGGGTTAATTGTTTTAATCCTAAACTGATGCATAATATCATAACTACCCTGTTGTCAAAATAATTAGGCCAAAGCCCATTACCAGTTAAAGATCTTCCAACTGTGTTTGCTTTGTTTTGCAAAAGAACGGCGCACAGCCCAAAAGAGAAAATTTAAGGAAGGGGATCCTCTGAATTATTTTAAACAGTATCTTTGTATGAGAGAAACTCTAAAATAAGGTGGATTCTAAATCAATGGTCTGTTTTGCAAGTGCTAAGACATTAATTGTTCGTGAAGCATTGAAGGCATCTGTGCGATAAAACCCAAGATAGCTGAATGCCAAATGATTCCAGAAATCATTTGGGTGAGAGTTCAGAGTGCTCAATGGTCAGCTGGCAGCAACATGAAACCTCACTCCTTTCCCTTCCCTACATTTGCAGTGGGTGCTGCACATGGTATTTAGGTCCCAGGTATTTAGGACACAGGTATTAAGGTCCCCCATTCATTTTTAGGAACCCTAAATGCTTAAATAGGAACTGGGAGCCTCAAACACTTTGTATATCTTGGCTTGAAAATGCAGCATTTTCTATAGGCTTGTGCACAAATCACAACCACGAAGGAACACCTTGGGAGGGAGAAGGGGGAACTGATCTCGGTGCTTCATATGTTTTTTATTACTAGGTAACTCTTTCCATGCAATGTGTGTGTACAGAATGGTTGCCGCAATTGGAGTCTGGCTTCCAGGGAGGCCAGCTTACATCACAGAGTTGGGAATAAACAGCCAAAAGTTCAGTACTATTTAGCAAAACCCAGACCAAGCTAACATGATCTTCAGGCATAGAAAATACATCTTCTGCACTGCTGTGGAATACTTTATGAGCTGTCAGTAGATATGGCATGACTTGCATTCCAATTTCCCATGGCTGCAGTGTGTCGCCAGAAATATCTTTGTTACTCTTGAGTATGTTCTGTGTTGGTGGATGGGGTGCAGGACAAAGTTGAAATGTCAAGAAATTAATCTGAAATGATGTTCTGGATTTCTTCCACATCGTGGGAATCAGCCCATACTGCAGGTGGTGGTCCTATAAAACAGTTGTTTTTCACAAATCATTCTGCTTGTTCATTAATTTCGTGAACCAGAAGGCCATTTCCCCATAGGGAAAGGCTCTTCAGACCGGTTTCTCTATTTTCCAGTTTGTAAAGAGTTACACCTCACTTATCAACACTTACATGAGGGCACAGTGAAGTCAGTGGGTGTTCTGCAAGCTGAAAAGAGAAACAAGATCTGCCAGAAGCATGAAGAACTTCAGCCATTTCTCATGTGAAAATTAATATCTTTAACTTCAAATTACTAAAAGTGCAAAATTACTTCATTTTTAAGACTTTATTAAACAGGCTATAAATCAAGAGATTAGTTCTGCAGTCAGCTGCAATGCTCACCTCTTGGGCAGAGTTTGTCTCACCCACAAAACAGTCACAACTTCACAGGTTAGCATTTTCAAACAAGGTACCAAACTGAGGGCTCCAGGAAGTGCTTATTAAAATAGAAATAATCTTTTTTTTTTTTTTTTTTTTGAGGTGAAAGATGTAAAGCTACCAACATCTATTTTTGAGTTCTGTCTGAACTCAGAGCAAAAAAAACCTGTCTCATTTTTGTTTTCTGAAAAACTTATTTAGAAAAGAGGTGCTATTCAAGAAGGCCCACCAGACCAACAGCTAGATTTTGGACTTAGGACTTCTGGCTAAATACCTTGTCTACTGAAGTACAGAACAAGACTTTCCCATAATCTCTCCTCCACAGTCATTAGTGTTCACGTAAATAATTAAGTGTTGATGGAAGAATGAAAAAAAAAAAAGAGAGACATTCAGTCTAGATGCATCTAGGAAGTGTGAGAACCTATTCGAGCCCTTTTCCAAACCTTTCAGACCACTAGGTCCTGGATATTCCAGGGAGACATTTTTTCCCCCTCTTCTAATTGCACCCTGGCTCTGGGATGGTTTCAAATTCAAAACAGTATATTTCTATGGGTCACTTTTCAGAGAATTTGCTGCATTAGCAGAATCTGAACTTTTCCAAAGGAGCCTCTACCAGAGCACGTTTCAGCCGAAGTTCTCCAGCGGTGTAGTCTGTGTGCGTGCTAACAATCCCCACTGCCTGTTCTCACTGGCAAAGAGTTAGAACAACTTTTGACCCCAAGTTTGCTGGAAGGTATGAGTTAAATGATCATCTTCGGTTCCTACTTTTCCTACAAACAAGGTCTAACCAATAGCTTATAAATTCAGCAGGGAGCAGATACTTGGAAATAAGAAATGATAGATGAGATGGGATATAGAGGAACTTATGTAAAGCAAGCTAGATTAATTCCTGAGATCCTTTGTATTCTAAGGTGGAGAGAAACAGTGCTGGCACATTGACAAGAATAAGACTATGAGGGCACAGCTGACATCCAAAGTTTGAAAAGTGTAGAAAAAACATCAAGGAAGGTGAGGAATTATTTGAAGATGCAGAAAAAAGGACATTGTAAGTAAGCTAAGGAAATTAAAAATTAATTTTAACGTCCTTAATTAAACAAAAAAAAATAATGAAAAGATGGCTGAATACAAATGTAAACTGGTTATTTAAGAGATTTGGGTTCACTTCTGCCAGGCATAAACTGCTTCCTCTGCTGCAAGGAGTAAGTCTAAAATATCATATGTTGAGAGCCTAGGGTAGGCTAGAGAAGTTGGAAGACGTGAAATATAAAAGTCTCGTTTAAAGTTGGGCTAAAATAATTTAGTTATTCAGTCCCTCCCCGCAAAGTAGTTTAGTCTTCAGGGAGAAAGGGAAAAAGCCAAGACTATACTAAAAGGAGACTGTCCCCTATTTTGCTCTCTGCTGCCATCCCATCCAACCCCTTCCCTCTGCAAGTGCTAGCATTTGTGCAGCTAGTCAGTGAAGATGTTTGGGAAACAAATCAGTTTAAAAATAAACTTTCTGCTGGGTTACTTTTAGCCTGGATTGGTTTCCTGATCTGGTTCGTTATGCAGCCAACATGGTTAATGGTGTCTGTATCTCACTCCATGGTCGTAGTCTCTGCCTTCTGCGATTTGCATTAGTCTTGCAGCTGCTGCACGTGTACACTGTAGGACTCTCAGACCTCACTAAGGAACACTGTGCTATGGAAAGAGAGGGCTGGGTCTTCCATGTGGGGAAATATCACAGTATTTAACTGGAAATATTTTACTGGAAATATTTCTATTGCTTTCACTCAGATTAAGCTTACACTTCACAAAATATCTTAGTGACTAAAATATGCATGTCATAAAAATATGCATGCTAATTTCTGAGTTTTCTATAATTTCACAAATACTATAAATCTGCTCCTTATCATATAACATGGCCTTTTAACAAGCTATTTAATTTTGATCTGGTACTATGATGAAGAATCCATTCTGTCCTGAAGGATGACCCTTCTGTTATGAGCCTTTGTAGCTGTAAGAGGAGAGGTTTGAAATTAAAGGGTATGAAGACCAGTATTTTTATTGTACCTGAAACAGCCAATTACACTCACCTCATTACCACTCAATTCTCTACTTTTTCAGTTCTGCTGTCAGTCTGACTGCACAGCTGCACTACCTCAAACTTAATGGTATCCTAATCCTATGCTTCCACCCATCTCCTCATCACCTTCTGCTTCTCCCTCATCACAGATGCAGACATGCTTCATCTGTTCTTTTCAAACCCCGTTTTCTGCCTGCCTTCTCTTTCTCTCAGCTCTTCATCTCCCATATGCTCATTCTTTTCCCCTCCCTTACTCTTTAACCTCTTGATCTCCTCTTGTTTGTTGTTTTCACTGTTTTTAGTTTTTCTCTGCTTTGCCATACCATATGCTAAGTCTCTCACATCATAAATAAAACACTTCTGACTCCTTCTTGCATCTCTAGCTACTGGCCCATCTGCAGTCACTCTTTCATCTCTAAGCCCTCTGAATGTGCTGTTTACACTTTTTCTTCCTTGAGTTCTTCCAATCTGGCTTCCCTTCTCTGCTCTTAATGAAACCATTCTTTCCACAACATCGAATAGCATCTATTTTGCCAGATCTCAGACTCTCTCTATAACCATAACTTCTTCTGGCCTCCCTGCTTCTTTACCTCTTGAAATCTCTCTGGGATTCCTCAGGACTGTCTTTCCCTGACTAATTCTCTTTCCTGTTCATTTCTTTACTGTATCCTCTGGAGGATCCTCTTGCTTTCGGTGAGGGAACTTTGCTTCTAACTTTGTGTAATTGCACCAAAAACATAACATTCTCATGTCACCTTTTTGCTGAAGATTCACAGATTTACCAATATATCCCTCCTCTGTCTCCTTTTTTCCTAAATAAACTTTTCATCTGACACCTTCATGAATGAGTTACTAACCGTGCAAACCTAGTTTGTCTGCATCACACCTTCTCACTATGCTCTTCTCAATAACTGTGGACTTCAGTGTGGTTGAAGTTCCTAAACTGAATGTCATCTAAATCTTCCAAACTTTCTAAATTTTACACACATAGCATCTCCAATACACACTTCTTCCTAGCCATGCAGACTGCTGAAATTTCCTCACTCTTCCTTCTTCCTGACACTTAAATTCTGCAGTATCCTTTCTTCTGCACCTATTAGGATGTTCTTGGTCCTGTTATGTTCATTTGGGAGCAGCAGCAAGAGAATGCCTCTACTTTATGGTTTAGGGGTATTTCATGTACCTCTTAATGTATCTCTTCCTTGAAACCTTTTTATTGCATTCTTCTTTATTTTTGCAAATAAAAGCAGTGCCTGGTCTTAACACCTACTTCCATTTGCCCCATAGTATTACCTTCCATTGTCCCTTTCTGAATTCCCAAACAAGGTTCCCGCTTTCTGCCTGACAAATTTAGAGAGAACTTCCTGTAAAGTATCTGTAAAGCTGTCTCATTATTTTGCTTCAAATCCTACTTTAAAATTCCTTTCCTCTGGGGAGGACTTAGGCAGCTTAATGTGAAGATACTAATAAATCAGTTTTTCTTCCTTTTTTGATTTATCCATTGCTTATCCTGCATAAGGAGAAAAAAATTTCTCAGATCATTTCACCTCTTTTGTTCCCTTTGTATGTACTACATTTTGATTATAATTAGAACATCTAAGAGACAAATGGAACAGAAATCTCAACAAAGCAGTCACCACTGCCCAGTATAACTGCATTTAGATAATTCTCAGAGTGCCTGCAGCTATTTTACTTGCATATATGTATGAGACAGGAAAGGCAAATATTCTATATCTTTCTACCTGAAATTCTCAAAAAAAGAGGTTTAATAAATGACAAGATTGATGTTGTCATATAGGTGGTGTCAACATCTGGAATTTTATTTTACTCAAAATGGAATATATTAATTTATGTTTGTATAGATATCTATATGAGGATATATATAGCTTACTGAATATTCTACTTGGCTGGTAGTATGTGTTGAACTTTTGATGGACTCTGTGAAAGGTGGAAAAGTACTTAGAGTAGTTAAAGTGGTGTTGACTGATTGGTGAGTTGTTCTTAGTAAAAGGAGATAGTCTTGTATTCTGCCAAGCAGAGTTATCCTTTGTGTGGGGCAGGCATTTTGAACTGCTGTTTTTTTTTCACTTGGTGTGTGGTCATCCTGAAATGCTTTAGGAATGTCTCGTTTTCTTCTTATAAAGCAGATTTGTTTTTCTTTCCTTCTTCCTTTCTTATTTTCCGTTTTGGTGGATAGCTCATTTTCCTAGTACAGAGCTGTTGTATTGTGGATTATGTTTTTAAAAGTGTTATGCATTTGAGCAGGATAGGGCCAGATCCTCAGTTGTTATAAATTGCTAAGGCTGTTTTGTGTATGAGCCTTCTTTGAAGCTGTTTTCCATAATATGTATTTCATATAAATTAAAAGCTGGTAGTAAGTTATTATTTAAATTATTAATTAATATATATAGAATAGTTTATTTTTTTTCTTGCAATTCCATTGATCTTCACAGACCACCTGAAATTAATGTAATCTTGGTTTCAGTTTATGATAAAAATGTACCTTGAGCTTTTCAGAATATTATATGTATTAGACTATAAACACACACTCAAATGAGCATACACTTGGTACTAGAACAGGGCCTGCCCGGTCATTCAAAGATAAATATTCTAGAAATCTGGTTTGAACTTGAGTTTAGGACTTCAGCTGCAAAATGGTCATGCCAAACTGCCAGATTTGAATTTCTTTTCTTCTTTATGTTTATGACTCGGTTGCCTTGCCATCACATCTGAAAGTACTGTGCTAGACAGATTGTATTGCACATAGATTGGGACAAATTAGAAAGCTCTTTATTCACATCCTAAATGAATAATCATAGAATTCATTGTTGCAAGATGTAATGTACTGGTGGGTGGAATCATTTCCAAGAGCAGAAGCTGAATCTATCAGTGCTGGAAAGTAATGCCATTCTGAAAATCACATTCAAAGTGGAATAGATATAAACAAGGATTATTAGTTTGATGTGAATGCCGAAGAGCCTACTGTATAGGAAGAAATTATATCAGATTTGTATGCTTAACTTAGAAAGATGGACAATGAAAGTGACACTGAATACTACTTTGCCAGAACTTATAGCAAGAAGATATTTTGGGCTATTTTAACACAATTCCAGTCTTGACTGTATTTCAGCTGAGGTGTACCAGAAGTTCCTAGTAATAAGACATTTCAGATACAGGAAAGAGGAAGAAAAAGATCACGGCACATGTCCAAGCCCTATTTAATTTCGTGATGGTACCCATTAATGCCCTGGAAAAGATGGTGGCCCAAGTTGCTTTTACAGCAGTCAAGGAAATATGATGTTCCAAAATGCCTCTTCCCATCCTGTATTCCTGTAACAATTTCTGACATTTGAAACTGTAAACACTTGATCTATATTCTGAGATAAAAATTTAACAGTATACATGTTGTCTTTACTTTCTAGGCAAAAGGCAATCTAGTAAACCTTCTAATATTGAAGGCTGATGGCCAGGTCAATAACCATGCAGAGCAATGGTGGCAACCTCAAACATGGTTAGGAGAGTTATTACTGAAAACTGAATCTCTACATGAGCCTAAGAAATAAGTGCTAACTGACTCTAAAAACTAGAGGACAACTCTGTGAATACCACCGCAAATACCACTGGCAAGAGACATGTCTCCAAGCTGTCTTCAGACTCCAGAGTAAATAAATAAAATATTTCAGAGAGAAGAGGCCTGTATACGTTGGCAGCATTGCTTGACTTTGTGTGTAAAACCAAGCACGATTCGAACTTCCACTAGGTAGACACCAACACAAGAAACTCATTTAAACTGGTCAAATTCTAACAAACATTTTCTGTGAAATTTTGGTGAGCTTGAGTTTGCCAGAAGCTTTTCCAGGAATTAACAACCTCCAAAGACTGCAAACACTTTTTCTTCTGAACATCTCTGCCCAGAATCTTTCTCCAAGACTCATAAAGCAAGAACTCGAGAAAACCTGCCTGAAAAGCAGTCTGCTTTGTAAAAATATAGTAGGATCTCACTAGTCTTTGAAGCAAGGGAGAACCAAAATAAAGGCAGTGAAGACATTACCCTCACTCTGTTTCCAAATACTTTGGGAGAAAATGAAAAAGTTTTAAGCATAATACTGGGGGTTGGTCTTTTATCTATTCACCTTCTACTTCAAACCTTCTGATTTCTCTGCATGAAGGTCATAAGTGATTGATCTTGGCTCATCTCTGATTAAGTATGGTCCT